AAATGCTTGATGGAAAAGAATTGCTAATTCATGTTTTTTAATACATAAATACATAAATATTATACATACATAAATACATACATAAATATTTATAATTTATTAATATATACATTTATTAAGATTGAATGATTTGTTGGAATATATGTATAATGATAATTATATGTTCCAACAAACTACACTTAATCTTACGAGGAAAGGAACCTACTTATCTCTTTTGAAATCATTCAACTTTCATTTAAAAAAATTTTTTCTATCTTTAAATTTCGATATTCATTTTGAAAGAGAAAAAAACTAATTTTTTTCTGAGGGGTGTTTTACTCCTTAAAAGCGATTGGACACGTATAAAAAAAATGTGTCGCTTATTTTTTGTCTGGAGAACAATATACTACAAGCTTATCATTAAAATCAGAGGGGAACAATTGGGTCCCTTTTCTTATTAGTTATATATTCATTTATATTAATTTATTTAATGTATAATTAAATATACATATATATAACAAGAAATAATAATTTCTATAAAAATAAAGAACTGCTATTTTCTTCTAAAAATATAAAATATAGTTGCAATTGCAGTATAAAACAGTCTGTTTCAGAAATTATTATTTCTTGCTTTACATTTCTCGCAATATTTCTGTTCAATATTATATACAATACATATATATATATACGGTAATATATATGTGTGTGTGTGTGTGTGTGTGTGTGTGTGTGTGTGTGTGTGTGTGTGTGTGTAAGCATCTCTTATAACTAGAGTTCGATCAAAACTTTAGTTGAAACTAAACCAAAACAATCGCTACATGTCAATTTCAACCGAAATCGAAACCAAAATTAGGAATCCTATAAAGTATAAACATGCCCTATATATACATCATATACTATTTCTTTATAAATATCATAATTTATTGAAACAATTAAATTTCGACCAAAATAAAACGCCGAAATTTTGAGTGTGTGTCAATTTTAACCAAAAAATATAATATTTCTTCTTCATGAACATCGTAATTTAATTATTGAAACAATAATTACACATATTAAAATTAATATTTATGAAGAAAAATTATATAGTTTTAGTCGAAATTGACACGTAATGAATGTTCGTTTTCAGTTTCGGTCGGATTCTACTTATTACATTCAAATTCATTGTTTTATTTATTATAGGTAGATTACTTCACGTTTTTATATTGTTTTATTTCTCAAACAGTTTTATAATCGTAATAGTTCCCCCCCCCCACACACACACACGCGCGCGCGCATGAAAGAATTCTTTCAATATTCAAAATATTCTTGAGATCTTTTAAAAATATTTAAAAGTTAAATTATTTTCAATCATAAATTTATACACATATAGACTGCGTACTAGATTACGTGTCGCAATTGCTATCCTGGAATTTGATTACAATTATTTGATTACCAATATTTTCAAAGCTTTTTCTAAAAGGATTCTCTAATAAATAATATCTTATATTATCATATTTTTAATATAATATTAAATCTTTTATTATATTATTTTGTTATTGTCTCATCCATCATAAAATTCCATCATAAAAATATAGACATGATTAATATTTTACTCAAAAGTAATTATCTTCTTCTTTTTATTTATTCTATCATTTCATATACGAATCATTTTTCATACACGAATAAAATACCAACACTAATAAAAATGTCAATTTTTAAGGAAAAATTTTTGAAGAAAGGAAACTAAGATTAACATAAAAGGTAAAGTCAAAATGGATTTTTAAGACATTTATCAATTTAAGTTAGATTTTGGCTTTGAAGAAGATATTAAAGAAGATATTAAAGAAGATAGAGGAGGATATATTCCAAACCATCTCTCATCTCCTATTACAAATGATGACCCAGAATTTTTATTAAATTTTGATAAATTTTACTGTAAGCGTCATAATAAATTAAAGAGGAGAATTTTGGAAAATGATATAAACAAGACTATATACAGCCTATGTAAAGGTTCTTATATTTGCATTAAGGAATTCATCGATAAGGAAAAAATCAAAGCTACGGAAAAAAATTTTTATTTGAAAACTTTGAGTATCGCACAAACATATTTTATTTAAAAACTAAATTATGTCAAAAATAGTATTAATTAAAAGCAAGGTGAAAAATTAGAAAACCAGATTAATAAAAAGTTTGAAGAGATTAAAATTAAATTTGCTGATTTAAAAGATGATTATTTAAGAATGAAAAAAGTTGAAAAAATAAAGAACAAAATATGTTTAATATAAATACCATATGGAGAATTATACTACAGTACAGAGATATTATACGATAGACAGAGATATTTTGAAATGTAAACACGGAACAAGTATAAGATAAATTTCTACTTCTATGTGCTATTTATCAAAATAGATTTATTCTTAAACTTTATTGAGTCCTATGTGATATGGATGGGAAATATTCATATTCGATGTTTAAATGAAACAGATTTTATTGCATATTTAAAAAAAATTAGAATAAGATTGGGAAATAATTTATATAAATTGCTTGCTACATGGGAATTATTAATTGTTGGATTTACGATTAACGATAATATATCAGATCTTGGATTTTCTGTGTAAAACAAATTTTATATAATATTAGGTGTGGGAAAAAGTTCGTGGCGTTTTTTAATGCCATCTAACGGGAAAAACTCCACGAACTTTTTCCCGTACCTAATACTTCAAAGAAAGAAATAGAAGAGATATTTAAAACCAAATATATATCAATGGTGAAAGTATATGTCTAGAAGTAGAGGACCTCTATTAAAAACATAGGAATAAATGAACGATAAAATCATATGAAGTTATTAAGCAATCGATACTTTTTCAGTCAAGGTAGCTTGCGAAGAAAGCCACACTCTGGCAATTATGAATAAAAGAAATCTCTATACTTATGGAA